TATAAACACAGCACCATCGGGGGAAGTCTCCTCATCAGTCTGCCCCCACCAGTCCCTAAACAATAAACTGTCCATAGTCAAAATCAGACGCTTACAGTCAGTAACATCTGATTTGTGCCTTTCGAGACTTACTTTTCCTCAGGGTTAGCCATGAGCTTTTAGCCATTTTGATATTGCTGCTGTGTGATTAAATAGACAGAATTTGTCACGAAAACAGGACAGGGGACACAGAGGACTCAGGTGCAGGAGACTGAAGGTTTACTGGGGGAGGCAAGTAAACATCATACTTTTCGGGAAACTGGGTGAGCCACTGGTGGGGGGGAAGCTGGGTAAGGAGAGCTTAGCGGTTTGGCCCTCCAGAGGTTGTTAAACCAAGGTAGAGAGCTGGTTCACCTGTGATTGGAGCTGCTGTTGGGTCTCCATGCTGGGTCTCCATGCTGGGTCTCCATGGGATCCATTTAGTTTAGGCAAAGCATTCTGTTATAAAAAGAGGACAGGGGGCACAGAGGACGCAGGTGCAGGAGATTATTGGAGGAGCCGAGTAAACAGAGTCCAAGTTGCGGAGCAATACCTGTGAAGCGGGAAGCCATGCCAAGTGGGTCAGAAGCCAGGGTCCTATGAAGTGGCACAAGACAGGGGATGGGAACACTGGGTGGAATGGGCCAACAGAGGCAGGTCAGAATGCCAGTATTTCTTATAAAACATGTTTTTATGTATGTTTAAAGGTATGATGGATTGCCAGGCTTGTGTTATTTCCGAGTGGTGCTTTAAATTGAAACTATTTTCTGTCAGCTATGAGCAGAGCAGTGTGCTTTTTAGTATCAGGGATATAAATCAATATGCTAATATGCAGCCATTTCCCACACTGCACTTATTTTTATTATATAAGACAATTTACTCATTTTCATGGGTACAGTCATAGTCAGCACCAGTATAACATGGCAAAGTCGCTCTTTTGTCATTCTTCCTAAGTTTTCTTCCAGTTTGATAATAATAATTGATCCTTTATTGTCCCCATGGGGAAATTCTTTTTTACACCTCCCTCAACTAGTTCTTTGCAGAGTAAGCTGTCTGTGAAGGGCAGCCACCTGTTGGGGCACCCAGGGAGCTGGGGGTTAAGGGCCTTGCTCAAGGACCTGCAGACGTGCTGAGGCTGGGTTTGAACCAATTAATGGTAATTAATTAATGGTACACAGGCTTAGCCCACTGAGCCACACACTGCCCCATGTGAAAAGACGGCTTCAATGCCTGATCCATGCTGTTCATCTGCCCATTTTTCAATTTATCCAACACAGAAATTGCAGGGGGAGTCCTTCCTAAGGCAGCATAGGCAATTATATCTTTGTGGGGACTCTCCATTCATTTCTATAGGAAAAACTCTAATCCCAACATGACAACCTTAACCCCTACCCAGCTGTAACCAAAAGTAACAAAACAAAATATTTTTAGTTTTTTTATTGCAGTCACAGATTGAAAAAAAGTCCCCACAAACTCAAAATAACAGGTTTACATTGTGGGGACCACATTATTGCATCTGATCCCCACAATGTAATATAAACATAGTCCCCTCCCACACACACACACACGAACAATCACAATCACAACCAATTTGTATCAGTGATTAATTATACAGTAGTACCTCAGAACTCAAACTTAATCCGTTCAGAACTCCGGATCGAATCCTAAAATGTTCGAGTTCTGATCTAATTTTCTCCATAAGAGATAATGGAAAACCAATTCATTGGTACCCGGCCACAAAAAAATACATCTAAATATGTTTTTTTAGTATTTAAACGCAAAATGAACTGGATAAAACAAGAAGAGCACAAACACATCTACTAAACACATCTAAGCACATTTATCAAAACAGTAATTTGTAAAGTTAAAAAAAAAACAGTGTGTCCTGCCCCGATCGTCCGCTCCTTCCATGTGCCACGCCCTCTCGTTAACCCTGTATGGAATCCCCGTGTGATCAGCTGTTTCTGGTTGTTGTCATTAGCCCTCTGTATTTCGTCCGCATTTCAGTTTGTTTCCCTAGTCCGGTCATTGTATTGTCCGTCTGTGTTTTGCCTGCCTTACCTGTAATTAAACCCCGTATTCCCCGATACCCTGACGTCTGCGCCTCCGTATTGTCTCCGTTCTGTCCCTGTTCAGCACGACAGTTTTATTATAATTAAATGTATTAATGGTTTATTATTAATATTAAAATAATTAATAAGAAATCTTTATTTTTAAAGGTATTTTATTATATAATAATAATTACTGTTACTGTCTATCATTGTCTAAATGTATTTTTACTGTCTAAATATATGTACAGTATTCAGCTAGTGTAAACTGAGCCATACTTCCTTCGTTTGTGAAGGAAGTATGGCTCCAAGGTGTAACTATCTGATCCATACCACTTCAATGATTTGTACCTTGCATGTCTCTACCACATCAAATTGTCTGGCACTGCCTGATTCGTTCATCCCGCAATTTTATGGCAAACCTTATTGTCTA